CGGTCTCGTCAGAAGAACTGACGGCTCCTATGCTCCAGCCCGGTGATGTTAGCTGCGTCGGCGAGGCCGTACCCTGTTCCATGGGTCATGTGACCACCGCTGAGCCCACTGAATCTCCTCTCACCACAGCGGTTCCCGCAACCAAGTCAGCGTCTACTACTAGTGCTTCTATTGCGACTACCGCTACTGAGGTTAATACCACGGCTGCTCCAACGACTACCGCTCAGGCCGTGACAACCACCCCTGTGGAGACCACCACTAACACCGTCGGTCCTACCACTACGACTACTGCTACCACAACTAGAGTGCCAACTACGACTACTGCTACCACAACTAGAGCGACCACTACGACTACTGCCACCACTCCTAAAGCCACCACTACGACTACTACCACAACTAGAGCAACCACTACGACTACGACGACCACTAAAGCGACCACTACTACTGCTGCTTCTCCTGCATTCGGTGGTCATTACTGCGGTAGCATGATGGGCCAGAGTTTCACTGTTGACTTTGCCTCTAATGGCCGCGCTACCATCAATGTGATGGGTATGTCTGCTGGCGCTGATTACACCGTTGATGGTGATGATATCGAGTTCTCTAACTACGATCCTATGCTTGCCAAATTGATGCAACAGTTCCACATCAAGAAAATTGATGCCACCATCATCAGTCCCGATTCCGTTCATATCAAGATCGGTTTCCTCCTTGACACCACTATCACCAAGTGCTAAGTTGTCTGTTTGACTCGTCTTCGTCTTGTCTACCACCATTCTCTTGAATGAATTTGCCAAACTTGTTGTGATTGAGTTGAGTTGAACAGCAATCGTGCTACGGGGCAACATAGTCTTTTTGTTAGATCTACAGAATTTGTGAGATTCGAAAGTTTCAACTTCTAAATTCTGTCGAGAAACTTTCCGAAATTTTCAACGGTGGATACTTCGCTCCGCATCGGTAGCAGCGAGATTACGTACTTCTCTGCCTCAGAGAGTCAACTCGGTGCTT